ACAGCTTGGCTTTGTTCTGTGATCTTGAACACTTATGGGAAGTATTTGGTGGAGAAAGCAGCCCACCTCATAGGGGACAGGAAGAAAAAAGAGAGAAGAGAGTTCAACATTTCAGGGATCCTCGAATGATATGAATTCCCTCCAGTAGGCCCCACCTCCAAAGTTCCACCACCTACTGGAAGTGTTGGTAACCAATCCTGTAACCTGGGCCTATCAGGCCCACTCCTGGTCCGCACTACAGGGGATACTTGTACAATATTTTTTTTTTATAATGCTCTGTTTTTAGACAGGAGATTTCTAAGTTTACTGGAGTTTGATTTTACACTTGTTTATTCTTCTTTAGCACATTCCATTAGCTTTTAGAAACGGGACACTGTGATTTTGTAGCTTCCCAACGTCTGACTTTATTTCTCCCTCTCATTGTTCCTCAGGTCTCAGATCTGACCTGAGTGTACAGTGTTCTTATTCTTTTGAAAGTAGGTGGCCAAAGGCAATGTGTAGCCCTTCATTTGATTTAACCAAAACCCTGGGGAGGGAAGATCCTCAAGTTTTAAGCTCATACTTGTCTCCATATCACTCATCAGTGGATTGAGTTTCAGCTGTTGGCCGGGAAATAAAATCTATGTTATGAACACCGGGCATATTTGGACAACATTTAATTAAATATAGTTTAATGGCTTAAAGAAGAAATGGGAAGAAAGACTTGTGCACCTTATTTATAGGTGCATATAGATGTAACTATGCATCTGCTTGCCTCATTTGTGAGCCTTGTGGTGTGTTTTGTGCAGTGGCCTACTGTAAGCATGAATAGATGCAGTTGAGATAAATGTGTATTGACGAGCACGAGCGGGCAAAGCTGTGGGAACGGAAAGCTAGGAGTTCAGCAGGCTTGCTTCTGGTGGGTACCTACAGTTCCTGGTGAGGAGCCGCTCTCAGGCGCTCCCTGTGCATGGCCTTCCCCGCTCTGCTCTTAGGCCTTCCATGAACCCTTATGCTTCTGGCTTCTGCCGATGATGACCTTCTCTTTACTTTTGATTTAAAATAAAATTCAATCACTTTTTATAGCAATTCCAGGAATACAGGGTTGTTCAATTCCAGTAAAAAACAAAACAAAACATAAAACAAAAAACTGTGCATCTGTTGGCTGATACCACATACAGGTCTTCCCGTGCTGCGGCAGCCTAGGTGGGGACCAAACCTGGGGATTCCTACAAGGCCGTTTCCATGCATGGGAAGACATTTCAGTTCTTATAAAAATTCAGTTCTTAATGTGTTCATTACCCTAAAGAGCAAAAATAAAATTCCTGTTTTCTTTTGCTTCTGCCACTTCAGAATAGTTCTTCAATTCTAATCTAAAAGGAGGAAGAATTTAACATATACTGTTCATTCAATTTTTTATCCCTTCATTCAGGGCTGGGAATATAAAGGATAGTAAGCGTGGCTCCTTGCTGTTGAAGAATTTTATTATTTGTTCTTACATTTAAAAATCAATTTAATTCTAAATATTTTTAATTACCGTATATTTTAAAGTAGGACTTATGTAGCCCAAGTTCGCCCAGAACTCACTATTGAGCTGTGGATGGTCTCGTACTCTTAATCCTTTTGCCTTCACCTCCCAAGTGCTGAGATTACAAATGTGCTTCACTATAACTGGCTCTGCTTTGTTTTTGTGTGATAGAATTAGAAGACTCAAGCCCGCGGACTTGTCACGGGCTAGCAGCTCTCGCTGCCTGTGTGGGATGCTTCATCTGAGTAAATTCAGAACAGATTATCTCAATGAGTCACACATTTGAATCCCACTGCAGAGTAAAAAGAACCCACAGGGTATTTCTTACCATGGTTTGGGCTGCTGTGCTGGACCCTTCCCACCACAATGTGAGCTAAATAAACTTTTCTGTGTAGAAGTTGCTTATGCCCAGCATTTTTGTCTCCATGACGAAAAAGGGACACTGAACAGAAGTAAACACTGGGAAGACACGTGTCATGAAAACTGGCAGTTTACCTGAAAGGAAGAAAAGGCTCTTTTGTCAGCCCGAGTCATTCCCTGCTTCTGCCCAAGCATGCTCCTGCCTTCCCTGCATGCATTGCTCTTCAGAGGCAGCTGCATTGTCGGCAAACCGACTCTACAGCTTGCTTGCCTGTCTTTCACCTGTCTCCCGACTCCTTAGTCAATCCTGGGTAGTCAGAGTGACTCGTTCTGACTTGCTCTGTCGCTGGGGGAATTTGAATCCTGTTGCCCATGTGCCATGATGGTCAGCTTTCCCACCACCCCACCTCCGGTCTGTGTGTGTGTGTGTGTGTGTGTGTGTGTGTGTGTATGTGTGTGTGTGTGTTTATGCCGAATTGTGATCACATAGTCATCCATCAGGATTAGAAAGGGCCCAGATCTGATTTTCCACCATGTCATATGTCTCTGCACCTGACCTTCCAGGAAGGTTTAAATTCTTCTGTTTCCAGTTGTGTATTGAAAGCCATGGTTCTGGAAGGAAGCAGTGTTTGCTCTTTTATGTCTCAGACTACATAGGACAGAGGAAGCCAATATAGCCAGAGACCCAGAGTTGCTCAGTGCATCACCATGTGCCTCATCTATCTAATTAGGTAACTACATTTGTGCAGTTTGACCTGTGAAAGATGGTTGATTTGGATGATAATAAACTTAATTTTAAAATAAATATATTGTTATTGATTCATTAATTCCACTAATATTTATTAACATTGTTATATTCTAAGTTCTATGGTAAGTAGAGAAGATGTAAAACTCATTGTTTTGGTTTGTTTTTTGGCTTTTGGTTTTTCGACATAGGGTCTCTCTCTCTCTCTCTCTCTCTCTCTCTCTCTCTCTCTCTCTTGCTCTGGCTGGCCTGGAACTCCCTCTGTAGCTCAGGCTGGCCTGGAACTAATAGAGATCTACTTGCTTTTGCCTCCAGAGGACTGGGATTAAAAGATATGCACCACCATGCCTGGCCATTTTATGCTTTTGAATAATATTTTATTTTTTCTTTTAGAATTTCACACAGTGCATTTTGAATATATAACTCCCCATAACTCTCTCCATAATTACCCTCCCATCCTTTCCCACCCAACTCTGAGATTTCTCCTTCTTATTGTCCCTGGGAGTGGGGCTTGTCTTTGCACATGATTGACCTACCAGTGATCATGTAAGTGGAGGAATTGGCCCTTCCTCTGCCCAGAAGCCATCAAATGCCAACATCTTCTTAGCTCCTGGTGGGATTTAATGCCCACTTTCTGTGCACCGTGCTGGGTTTCGTTTGGCTGGGACTTGAGCAGGTCCTGGATGTGCTGTCGGAAGTGTGCTGCATACTCTCCTCTACTGTGACCTGTATTACATGAGCTGTCAGAAGTGTGCTGCATACTCTCCTCTACTGTGACCTGTATTACATGAGCTGTCAGAAGTGTGCTGCATACCCTCCTCTACTGTGACCTGTATTACATGAGCTGTTTTCATTCCTGCTTTTCCCTCCTTCTTCTCTCCCATTCAGTGTTCAAAATGTTCTTTTCAAATAATACATATCAATGACATACTCCTTGTTTAAGATTTTAGTGATGTGCAGATAAAATTCCAATAATACCAAACTCCTTCAGTGTAGCCAACACACAGGAGTGGGAAGCTCCTTCCCATTCACCATGCTTCTTTTCTGAGGCCTCCTGACTCTCATGCTACAGTCTCCATTCTGCCCTACCTGCTGCTGGTTAGAAGCCTTTGTTTTTGCTCTAAGTCTGTAACGCTCTCCTCCTAGGTCTTCGCATGACTGACTCTTGTTGTGTAGACTGATGTTCTCCTTGACAACTCAAGTCATCAGTCTCTTGCTCTGCCTCCTACCACCTGCTTTCATTTCTCCATACTATTTATCACTGTGTGAAATCATCATAGCATTCACTTATTTTCTGTCTCTCTCAAATACAGTGTGGGCTTACCGAGAGTTCGTATGTCTCTGAGCTGTTCTTTGTCACACTGACAGTTCAGAATACCAAAGGGCACACGATGGCTCTCAACACATACATCCTAAATAAATTCCATCATGATACTTGATTATCATGTATCATCTGTAACCAGTAAATGTATTGGTTAGTGAAGACTGTGACCATGTAAATAAAGAACCTAATCATTGTCACAAAAGACTTATAAACCAAATAGCATAGGATAGCTGTTATTAGGGTTAACATATAAAATCATTTAAAAGGTGTGATAAATAGGTCCAGGTGTGTGGTTCAATGTTAGAGCACAAACAAAACAAAATAAAATACCAAACAAACATAGGAAGAAGAAGAAAATATTTTCAATGTTTATTTTCCTTTGCTGCATTTTAAATAATTGAATATTTTATCAGTTCTCGGGGTCATTGGCCTGTGAAATAGGTGACTAATGTGGAAAGTGTCTCATAGACTTTTTCCTGGTAAAGCAGTACTTTACTGGCCCTCTGGTATTTGCTTTTCTTCTCTGCTTACAAGGCAGAACTCGTGGAGTCAGAACGCCTGCATAAATCAAATGCCTTTGGAAATGTTGGCTCAAATGTATTTGAATGATTATTCTTGTCTTATTTAAAGCAATGCAATATTAAACGCATCTTTGATATTCAATTTTGTTATCATTTATGTAGGCTGGTGTTGCCTTTGCCATACAGGCAACCAACTCAACATCACTCAAAGGAAATAAGATCCAGTAGTACACATTTATCAGTGACTTCAAATGCTTGCAGATCCTTCCTTATATCAGCATGAGTATTTGTGTAATTTGTAATACTATAATTTATAATATTATAAATCACTTCATATTTAGACTTGAATTCCTGTGTTACAGAACTAAAGTTGTGGTGCTAAATTACTCTGTGGGGATAATTTCCCCATTAGGAAGTTCAGAGACAAGAGAAGAGGAAAGCAAAAATTAAAAACCGAGTTTACCTTCATGTTGCCCTGGGCAGAAACTATGTAAAGCAATAGCTGTTCAAGGTCCAAATCAATAGCAAAGTCTAAAAAAACAGATTGGAAAACATCCCATGAAGTTTTCCTGACTTAATTTTGATTCTAGCTCTGTGTGTGTGGTGGGGAAGAATCCAAGTTCTAAGGAGTGAGATCCTTCATTCTTTCAGCCGCAAAGGCAAAGGAGAGTACAGGTGAGATCTACAGCCTTAGGAATTTGCAAGCAAAGTGGACTTGAGGCCAGATAGGGGCCTTCGTGATCCCAGAGGGAAGCTTAATTGCCATCGTTTTGTCAGGAATGCTGCGGATGGCACAGGTGAGAACTTACACTTTGGGAACTGGGTTTGGCAGCTACTGGACCGGGAAGAGAACTTTGGGACAGCCATGAAAACTATCTTCAGATGACCAGAAGATGAATGGTAAGAACAACAGAAATTTGAAGGGGTTCCTATCTGCTAGAGACAGAAACTGGGGCCCAGATAGGGCGAGCCCTCTGCTCAAGGTCACAACACTCACTAGTGGCGTACAAGGGACTACAGCACTCCATAGGCTTCTCTCACAGTCATGGATCCAATCACTCTGGACTCTGTTATTCTGCAATAGGAAGTGAAATGTGCCCACAGAGCCAGCAATCATATGTAATATGTTTCCCTTTACTTTGAGCCATTATGAAACTGACCACAGATGTGTAAATAATGGTGAGGGTGACAGATGAGTAGTCATTACACAATCTTCTCTGTCAGAAGTAGAGGCTCTATGGTTTTAGACAAAAACCTATCTTTAAGTATTTGATTATAAACCCGCAGAAGTACATTTTATCAGAGTAAAATGGGGTTTTTCCAAGAACAAACAGTGCAAAGAGCCTGCAAAGGCTGCACATCCAAAGATGGACGGGTGTGACATGTCCTCCATCAGATGCGGGCTGCCGTGGCTATTATGTTCTCTATTGTCTCGGCGGAGCTGTGGATAATAGGCAATTCCACAGACTGCCCGTTTCTGCTCACACGGAGGGTGGTTCCGCGGTTCCACCTGAGAAATTTGACCAAAACTTTAGGAGGGACAGACTCTGTGTTAACATGCCCGTAGCCACTCTCAGAGCTCTGGAGCTGCGGGGCTTCTCAGAATCACAGGCAGCATTTTTCCATGGCAAATCACTGACCCATACTGAGCCTTTAAATAAATCCCTGGACTCTTGTCAGCATGACCTTGAAATAGTTGAACACCATCCACTTTGAGTCACTGTGACTTGTGATCCCGGCACTCAGCAGCTAAGGTAGGAAGATCAAGAATTCCAGGCTAACAGTGAGACTCCATTAGACATAATGGACATAATGAAGATGCTGACGCTCTCCTATGGTACCTAGCTGCGTTTATTAATAGCTAGGAATATTATTTTGAGCTTCAGACATGAGATTCCTGTTCTGATGATCATCTGTTACATTTACCTGATGAGTAAATCTAGGCAGGAGTATCTCACCATTAGCCCCATGCTCTGGCACTGTGTCCCACCGTTCCGGCTCATGCGCTGGCTGCAGTAAAGAACCGATTCATCATGACTAAAATAATGAGACTCTCTGATGCAGGAAAGCATAGAGAGATTGCAGTGCAGACTCGGAAACTGGTAGAGGTAGACTCTGCCATTTGTTCAATTTGTCATTGTTTCTGTGATTTCTGTTTGTCTTTGCAACAAACCCACAGGTAGCTGGTCTTAAACATCCATGTAGTCAAAGCTAGCCTTTCATTCCCAATCCTGTCTGCTCTCCTCCAAGGATTACAGGCACGTGCCACTCTGCTCAGCCTTGAAATTTGCTTTTCCCCTTCTTCCTCCTGGGGACTCTAGTGCTGCTAAGTAACAGTGGCCATAGATGAGTTCAGCATCCTGCTTCACTCCCACTGTGGATGCTGAAGCAGGGGGCGTGAACTGTGTTGGAGGTTCGTCTTACTATTTTGTACTCAGTGTTCACACTATGGTCACTCTGGTCCCTAAGAAGAAGTTCAGCTTCCAAGCTGGCTCGTCAGCTATTATTCCTCACAGGTCTCATTGATCCCAGGAATCCTTTTCCCCCTTCAGTCTTGTAGCTACAAAGCAAATACTCACCCCCTACTCCCCTTCCTTTTGGTCTGTCAGTGACTTCTTCGAGAAAAACCCAGAATCAGGCTGTGCAGAGGCTTGGGATCTCATCCCCACTCTGGTCAGATGTTGTACCTGTTGTTCTTAGCAGGTAACAACAGTGACTATTTCACTGATAACGTGGCACAGTCAGGGGAGAACATCTCAACACGCCCATGCTTTCCTTCCAGTTTCAATGGGGGAAACAGCTAAGGCCAATCCCACCTTATATGTTTGATTGCCATCTTCTCTGGACTTCTTAGGAATCCAGGCTCCTGAACATCTCCTATTTCTCTCTGTCTCTCTCTCTCTCTCTGTCTCTCTCTCCCTCTCTCCTTCCCTCTCTCTCTCTGGTTATACTCTTCCTCATTAGAATATGCATGTGGTCAAACAGCCGCCATTTTTGAAAAGACTTTGCTTAATCTGGTTACCGTCTCGGTTCTCTGGTTGTAATATTTTCCTTGTTAAACAAGCAGGTCGTGGGAGACGGCTCATATCTGTAATCCCAGCACTTAAGAACTGAAGCATGAGGATGCCAGGGAGTTGGAGATGTGAGCAACTTGATAAACCAAGAGGCAGCCTGGGCTTCAGAGTTAGACAACCCAAAGGTTCCAGCCAGCGAGTTGGCTCAGCAGGGATAAACGCGTGCGGTTATGATCCAGCCAGCTGAGTTCTAGCCCTGGAGAACAGGCTGGATGTAGTATCTTACAACAGTAACGCCAGTACTGTGGGCAGCCACGAGGTAGAGACAGGAATCCTCGGGAGTTCATCCTGAAGGACAGGGCATAGCAACAGACACAAGAGATGCCCTGTGCCAACAAGGTGGACAGGCAGAATCAACCCCTGAAAGGTAACCTCTGACTTCCACAAAAGGTGTCCATGGGGTTAAGATGAGGAAAAACATTATAGATGGATGTATTTTTTCATTTGCCACTAGGTTTTACAAGTCCTTTGATCGATCCCTTATAGCTATTGCCAAGACATATTTTTAATTAAAAATAATAAATTAGTTAATTGAATGATTGTTCTCTCTCTATCTCTCATGCATGTGTGTGGCTATGAACACATTCATGCCATACTGCAAGTGTGGAATGTCAGAGGACAACCTGTGGAAGATTGTTCCTTCCTTATAAGTCTCAGGGATCAACTCAGATTTTCAGTCTTAGCAGTGAGCTCATTTACCTGCTGAGACATCTTGCCAGCCCCCAAACATATGGGATGCAACCTGCATGTAGTGGAATACCTAGATCTTAAGTGTGCAGTGGAGGTTTTAGTTTTTTCACTGTTTGTTCTAGATTTATTGCTGGAACTACTCAGAACAGCTGAGCTCTGCTGTATGAAATTTACTGACATTTTATTAACTTCTGTGCATTTCTCCTCATATGAAGGGTGCCGGCTAAATCTGAGCTAAAAGCCCTGCATGTCGACAATAGTTGAAGGGCTGCCTAAGCATTTCCATTAGCAATATTTTTCCATAATTCTTATGATCATTGTGAGGACCTGGCTTCTCTAAGTTAGATATACGTCTGTAATCCGTTATCCGCACCTTGCCCAGTTATGCACCGCAGCCTTAACTGGAGGAACTACTCAGCAATTAGGAGCTTACAGTTCAGGATCAGCAGCTCAGAATCAGGGGCAGCCTCAGAAGCGTGAAACAGTGGTCCACCAAGGCTTGCTGATTCTGTGGCTCTTCTCCAAATTGCCAAAAATGAGCACTTAGCCACCTTTGGTGAATTTCCACAGCTGGGTTTTGTGTCATGATCAATCAGAAGGAGGACTCCAGCATTGTGATTAGTATAATATAATCATGTTTAGACAGCAAACTGCCTAAGACCTATTCACTCCATCCATCAGCATAATTGATTATTTGTCCCTTATGAACCCAGTCACTGTGGTTACTACATCTGCCTTTTCTGTCCACAGTGATCCTTAGCCATACTGACTTCTGCCTCTGTGTGCTATGAACATGACTCCGTCACATGAAGTGTTTCACTGTGTCCCTTGAGAAGGTCAACAACCAACATGGAGAAACACTGACTTTGCTGCTGTTGTCTTTTAGACATAATAACACATTCTACTCCTCAGTGACAGCATAGGACTGTGTGATCACAGCGGGGATTGGAAGGAACACACACACACACACACACACACACACACCCCTTAATGTAAAAAAGAGCTGACAGTTGCAAATGCCTACCAAGGTTGCTGTCCCAGCTGACCAGGCATTTCCCAAAATGATGTTCAAGCAAAAGCCACACAGTGATCTCACAGTAATAATGTGTTGGGGAATGGAAATGCTGGTCTAGCTACAGTGTAGCTCCGTTAAAGAAACAGTGATTCCTGTGTTCTGTCAATGCCTCACTGGTCCTTAGATCAAGGGCCAGCAGGAGCTGGGGAAACAAGACGTACGCATTCAAGCAACTAGTGAAATAGGCAATTTTGAAAATGAGTGTTGTCTGAAAACAGCAGTAAAACACAGAGTTAGCTGGTACCGAACTGCTTTGGATGCCTCCCACCTCCGTGTGAACGGTACCATACTGTGACTGTCGTCGGGTAAAACACAGAGTTAGCTGGCACCGAGCTGCTTTGGATGCCTCTGTGTGAACGGTACGATACTGTGACTGTCGTCGGGGTTAATTACACTTAACTTAGTTACAATTAGATTTTTAGTATTCCAACTGGGTTGTCTGGTTGCCTTTCTAACCAGGAAGTGCGTATTTCAGAGGCAGTTTCTACAAGTGCTGCTCTGTTCCCAAAGACAGGGGGCTTGTGAAGATCATGAGCCCTGACATCACACAGTCAGTTTGATCTTGGCCCAGCTATTTATTGATCACAGCATTTAACAAGCTCATCAGCATGCTGGTTCCTGAATCTGATAACTGGGAGGCCTACGTTATACACTGCTTGTAGATGTTACAGATGTTGGGGATTGTTTGTTTATATCTATTATAATATATAATAGATATCATTAATATATAAAATATAGCTATTCAACAAAACTTAATCTGAATCTCATAGGGAGGCTGTGGAAAGGAAGATGTCCAACTAACTATATCAAGTTAGAATACCTACAGAAGACATTTATCCTATATCAAGTTAGAATTACCTGCAGAAGACATTTATCCTAAAAGGGAGTTGAATTAGTTTTCATTCCAAAGGGAAGAGACATAGACTGTGGCATATGAATGAAGAGCTATAGAGTATCATCCACTAAGTCTAGCAATTCTGAAAGTAGCAAAATGGCAGTTATTCAATAGCAATGAAAGCATGAGTAACTGTTGCAGCGCCAGGAAGGTTGAGAACCACCTG